TTTCCCTTGGGTTACATCACAAATGGAAGCAAAAAGAGAAATACCATATTTTACAGTGTAAAAGTTACATTTTTTTCTTTCCCATCAATATGACCCTACTTACAACATATGAAGATGTAACCCCCTTTTTTGAAGTTAATGCATTAAACATTTAGGCCACAAGTAATTCTTGAATATTCCTTTCTAAAATGAAGCAACATCTTTTTCTATCTTTGTTTGATGCAGTAAAATACTCTTTTGGGTCGAAAAAAAATAACAACAAATGTATGATTGTCAGCAAGAGATAAAAAAACCAAGATGCAAGCTATGGTTTGGATACGTGAAAAATAAAAATATTTATATATCTAGGAATTGCAGATTCTTCTTTGTATTTTATCAAGAATCTCTAAATACATATCAGAAGCACCAGACCAGATGTGGCAGCAATATTCAATGCAGGAATGAATGTTAGACTTATAAATATATTAGATAGATTCTCACAAGAAAATTATATATATATATATATATATATATATATATATATATAATAATAAAAGAGAAAAAATCTATACTCAGCCGATACATTTCATCCTCTGAGGGACTTTATCAAGGCAATGATAAATTTCCTCAGAGAACGAAACACATCAGCTAAGTATAGTTTTTCCTTTCGTCTCTTTTTATTCATTTTGTTCCTTTACAGATGCAATCTATCTGAAAATAATTTACACACATGCACGCACACACACATATATATATATTATATACATATAGTATTATACAATAAAATCCAAAATTATCTCATATGGGGGATAGATCTATTTCAATCAATGAAAATTCTGTCAGTCTTATTCAACCCCAGTATACAGAGTGAGTTTATGTCAGAATCAGAAATTTAACTGTGACAGCTGTCAAAATGGATAAATTCTGCATCAATTTTTTGACAGCTATCACAGTTAAATTTCTAATTCCGACATGAATTCAGTCTATACACCAGGGTTGAATAAGATAGACAAAGTTTTCATTGGTTGAAATAGATCTATCCTCCATCTGGAGTAATTTATGATTTTATTGTATAATACTATTTATTGGCTCTGTAATAAGAAATACATTGAGCTCTCTTTGTGGATCAGTTTTAATATTTTATATTACTAGGATCCACTTGGATTATATACCAACAGATTTATTACCTTTACTATATATATATATATATATATACACACACACACATATATATATATATATATATATATATATATATATATATATAGTCAACTCTCCCGTCGAATTCGATGTATGAGGGTCAAGCAGGTCAGTTCCCAGGAAACCAACAGCCCAACAACAGCACAAGAAATTTGATCATAGTGGTGAAGGTTTCGTGCAGGACCAGCCACACTTTCTGAAGGGCCGAATTCAGAGACCTGGCTAGTATATATATATATATATATATATATATATATATATATATATATATATATATATATATATATAAATTACCTAACCCTGTACCCTGTTGCGTGTTAGATTTTTTTGGGAAGAAAATGATGATCGATTTTAAATCATTGTTATAATTTGTAGAGAAAAATGATATAGATTATTTTCAACCACTTCAGTCATTAACAGAATGTTGTTAGTATGGTAGACTTAATACACTGAAACATTGTGATACTGAACATAAATGAAAGTTAGCATCAAATAAAATCAGTACATCTCAAAGACTGGTGTATATACACAGTTAAACCAGCTTTGATTAATTCATTTTGATTACTTGAAAACACAATTATAGGCAGGGAGAAAAATTTGAATGACTTTGTGAACTAAATTGTTATGGCCAGAAGACCTATGTCAGAGGATTTCCAAAAAAGCTCAGCTTGCAGGGTGCTCTTGTCCCTTTAAGCAATGGTTTGAAGAGGGAAACAAAAATAATCAACTGCTAAGAAGGCATTGACCAGTTCAGACATACCTATGCAAGAAATGAAAAGTGGCTTTCCAACCAAGTACAGACAAACAGAAGGGCTAATGTGGCATAAATTGCAAATAGCTTTAATCAAGTTGTAAGAAGTAATGCATCACAAAACACGTTACATCAGTATTTGTCATGTATGAGACTGTGTAGCCACAGACTATTAAGAGTACAAATTCAAACTAATAACCATAAAAAATAAAGTGAGAATTTTAGTTAATCTTTTGAAACACCAGAATATGCTCAGCTCAAATTATAATGAAACTAAAAATGTGTTTGGTCATTTCAGTTCGTAGAAACAGTATAAAAAGCGACTAAGATTAAAAAATGTCATGTCTCAAATCATATCAGTTTTTAGTTATAATATCTGATAACACAAGATGTTTCCTACTTGCATTAAGTATTATTTTACTAGTTTACCCAAGCTTTACAAAATGACAGCATATTCAATAGGAGTAGATAGGTTCACCTATCATCCATTTCAAATTCCTCCCAGGCCTTTAGAACAAGATGAGAGATTTACCCCTTGGTTGCCATTTAGGATTGGGTTTCCAATTCCTTCTAAAGTCTACTTTAACTCTATACCTCTAATGTCTCTGCCTAAACTCTGAAATTTTATTTATTATTTACTTTTTATTTTTTTCCATTAGTAGGAGTACATAGGTTTGCTTATCATCTGGTTCACACTCCTCCCCAGTCTTTTCAACAAGAGTAGAGATTTATCATTTCTGGTTCCTTCTAAAGTCTTCTCATTCTCTTTCACTCCCAGTAGCCCCTTGCGTCTTAGTGGTATTATTGCCTTGCTTGGACTGAATTACTTATAAAAAATATTATTATTTTGTCAAGTAGTAGATTTCCACAGGTGAGTCTTTAAATATTTTTTCACCTCTGGTCTTTGTAAACATCTTCAAAGTTCACTACTCTTGCGACAAAGATAACTATCTCCCTTGCACAGGCAAAATTCAAAGATACTGATATTACAGACAAAATATACACAAAATAGATATATTTACATTATATTACATTTTATCCACTGGCCCAACGGATAAAAATGTTATGTCGAAGTAATACAGTGACTTGACCCAAAGAGTTGTAAGTTCAATACCTGGCTAGAGCAGAAACTTGGAGAGTTGAGTTACTAAAGTGTAATAACTGAAATTAAGACATCCAAAAAAGGCATGGCATGTGGAACTAGAATAATCTACCTTAGTGAACTAAATAAAGGGTTCGGTTCAAAATTCCATTACCTGAAGAAGGCAGGAGAATACAACAGCCAAAATGTATTGAATATGACAATAAAGATGAAAACAGTCTGAATAATGTAAATAGTGTAAAAAATACCTTTAGTCTATAAGATTTTGGAGCTAGACTCAATATGAGTACTGGTAGTTTATGATGCCCAGGTAAGCCATAACCTACCAGATGCCTCAACTCTGTAAGACCCAGGAGATAATTTTTAGCCCTTTTGGAGAGGGGGGAAAAACGAGGGAGATCTTATTAGTTTCTTTCTTTTCTTCTTTAATTGGGAGTATATGGTTCATACTGCCCAAACATACCTCTTCTTGATTCTTCTCTGCTCTAGAGCCACATGCAGTTTTCTATGCAGTGTTCTCTCGTGTATTTTATGTAGATCTTTCTTGGGCATCCTCTCCTATTTTCCCCAATGCTCTTTTTGGTAGAGAATGAATCTTGATATAGGGCTTTAATACTTTAACCAGTGTTCTAAGGCTCGTAATTGTCATGAAAAACAGGTTGTTGGTTAACCCTTTACAGGATGTCTTCATTTCTGATGTGATCAGTTATTTTAGTACCCATAACAGGTGGTTCCAAATGAGTTCATTAACTAAAAACTTACAATATAAAATTGAAGTACACTGATCCGAAATTGTATTCCTCTACTTCAATCACTTGATGTTATTACATTCATGATAAGAAGCAACATCATTAACTTGGAATTTGTTTTATATTTGAATGCAATATTGGATTAAAGCTGTCATTATATCATAAATGTATCAGTTATATTTGTGATATAACTATATGATATCTATATGATAGATAAGTCTTATAAATATTAATAAGGTAAGTGAACTACATTTCCTATTTGAAGAAAATATGAATAACAAAAAATATGATTGTTTAGAATAATTATTAATCTGGAATGTGTTTCACTCCAATGCTTCCTTGGCTTTGACAATTTGAAATTTACACATTGAAAAATAAAAGAAATGTACACCAAATGAAATTCATTGAAATGAAGTCTTTCTCTGACAAAAGCATCATGAAGTTTTTTTTTCTTGCTAATAATTCATTCACCAAGTCTTTATATGTTCAATATTTTCTTCATTTAGAATGACAAAGTTATTGAATTTAAAGTTAGCAGCTTTGAATTAACAACGAAAAATCTGTAAAAATTCATTCTTTATTTTTCTTTAATTAGAGTGAGCCGATAACAAAATTCTGGAATTTATGTAAAATTCTGTCCATAGAGAAATGTCTCTATTTTAATGATGTGACAGAAAATAGAGTAAATGACAGTAATGTAGCATTTCATGAATTGAGGGGTTTTTCTTTTGCTAATATTAGTTTGGGTAAAAGAGAGAGAGTTAAGGGAAAATTGTGGGATTTCAAAAAACTGAGTAAAGATGGAACTGAGAGAGAGGTTGTATGGAAGAGTGAGAGGAAGAAATAAAAGCAAAAGAGACAGAGAAGAAGGGAAAGAAAGACAAAGAGAAAGATAGAAGAAGAAAAAGAGGAGAGGAAGACAAAGATGGTAATAGAGAAGATGTAGAAGAGAACAACAAAGGGAAACAAAACAGAGGAAAAAGAAGAAAGAAAAAAAGATTGACAGTTTAAAGAAAAAAGAAGAGAAAGAGAACATAGATGAAAAAATGAAAGACAAGAATCTGGCAAAAAAAAAGTAAGAGATAAAAGAATAAAGAAAGCTGAAGAATAAGTTAAAAAGGAATGAAAATAAGTGAAAGTAGGAAATAAAAATGAATATGTGTAATTGGAAAAGTGTAAGAGGAAAGGGAAGGCGAATGTGAACATGTGTAATGGAAAATCAAAGTGTAAAAAGAAAAATGAGTGTTATAATGGGAAAGTGAAAGTGGAAAAAGAAAATGTAAGAGGAAAAATGAATATGGCATAGGAAAAAGAATGAGGAGAAATGTGGTGAAGTGAAAGAAGAAAATGAATATGAGAAGTGAAAGTGGGGGATGGAAAATGCATGTGGGAAAATAAAAATGGGCAAAGGAAGAAGGAAAGTGGGGTAATAAAAAAGTGAATGTTTCAAAGTGAAAGAGGAGAAAGGAATGTGGGAAAAGAAACTGAAAGTGGGAAGAGGAAAGTGGGAAAGCACAAGTCAAAGTGGGAGAGTGTGGATGGGATGGGGAAAGTGAAAGAGGGAGACTGAAACTCACTAACAGAAAATGGAAAGGGGGAGGTGGGAAACTGAAAATGAGAAACAGAAAGTGAAAGTAAAAAGGAAATTAATGTAGGTTGTGAAAGTGGGAAATGGGAAGAGGAAAATAAATATGGGAAAGAGAAAGTGAAAGTAAGAAGGAAAATGTATGTGAGATAGGAGAGTACAACAAGGAACATGAAAATGGGAAAGAATGGGGGGAGGGGGAAACGGAAAGGTGAAATGGAAAAATAAATGTAGGAAAAGAAAGTGAAAGAGTGAAAGGCAAATGAGAGCCTGAAAGGAGAAATAAAAGTTGAAAAGGGAAAGTGTGAAAATGAGAGTGGAAAACAAAAAACAAAAGTTGGAAAAGCAAAGTGAAAGTCAGAAAGGAAAATAATTGTGGGAAAGGAAAGTGAAAGTGTGAAGGAGAAAGCGGTAAACTGAAAGTAGGAAAAGAATAGAGAAGGGGAAAGAGAAAGTTAAAATGAATGTGTGAAGGTGTAAGTGGGAAAGTGAAAGTAGGAAAGTAAAAATTAATGTGGGAAAGTAAAGGGAATGTTGAAAAGGAAAGTGAAAATAGAATAAGAAGTGGAAAATGAGATGTAAAGGGAAAGGAAAAATGAATACCATAAAAAGAAGGGGAAGTGGGAAAGGGAAAGAGACAGAGAAGGTTGGAAAGAGAAAGGAAAAGTGAAAGTTTTTAAGATTGAAAAAATTTGAAGTAATTTTACATAAGTAGAAAAGAAGAAAAAGAGGGAGCCACAAGAGTGAAATGGAGAGTGAGGAAGTATGAAAAATAGTGAGGGAAAGAAACAGTGGGAGTCAGACAGAAAAAAAAGAGGAGTCAGTTAGGGCAATAATAAAGAGACCTTTAAAAAAAACTTCTTTATATTTTTTCAGAAAAGCAATAATTAGTAGAATTCTACAACTTTGTAAAATCTTTTATGAGGCACAACAGAAGAATTTCTGATTACAAGGGAAAGCCAAACATTTGAAATGAATATTCAAGTGGGGAGTGAACTCAGAAACTGAACATGTAGAAAACAATTGATTATTGGGGGATGTTTTCATTGAAGAAGAAATTAGAAACCTCATCAAACAGAAAATAGAAACATCTGCCATTTTTAAGCTTTATGACCTTAGTTCAAATTTTGAAAACCTTTATTAAATCAATCAGATTATTTTTTTTTTTTTGAGGGAGAGTATTTCAGTATCAGTCAGTTGGTTAGTACATTCATATAGTCAAGTAGACTGTAATAATTTTATCTGTGCCTCAAGTGACTTATACCTAGTATTTATTAACCCCCAACGGTATTATGTTTAAAATCAAGATGTGAGAGTTCCAAAGCAACCACCTACTGCACATAGGTAGAGAATAAAATATTTAAACAAATAAATAAAAACATTTGAGATGAAGTGACATTCATGTGGAACATTTAAAATTCCAGAGAGGGGTTTATATAATCAAGTTGCATTCTAGATAATCAACAGTCACTGAGAAGTAGTGATTGATCAATTCATTTTCTACAGCTTACCAACTCTTTCCAGATTAATTAAAGCTAGAAAATACTTTTAGATAGTAAGAATATTTTTTGAGATAATAATGGTTTAGAGATACAAGTATTACTAATTAATCCATAGCTGGGGTGAGAAGAGATGGATTCATACCTTTCTCAATGGTATTTGCATGTAAGTGAATATAACCCAGCTCTCTGATTAATAATTGCAATATGTTATCCATTATACCACCCACACAAGAAAGAACCTATTGAGGTACTGACTAGATTCAATGTTGCTTAACTTCGGGGATCGTACAGGAACTAGTGTTTCAGCATAAAGTGTCTGTAAAGAGAAATAGAAAGGAGCAATGGGAGTTAGAATTATGGTGAAAGTAATAAGAGATGTAGTGATGAAGGGATATGGAATTCTTACTGGCCAAATGGAAGATCTGGTCCATTAGTCTGTCTGTTAGAGAAAACAAGAAGCAATGAATATGTCCCAAGTTTCACTAACCAAACCCTATGTAGTACCAGGTGAATCCATGAATAAAGAACCTACAATATTGAAAACAAGTTTTGTTTTTCCTTCTTGTGTGATATCTCATCTTCAGTTTCTTTGTTGAATGTAATCAAGTTTTTCCAAGTTTTGTTCACATCGATACAAACAGCAATCAAACTCAGGCATCGGGAAGAAGCTGATCAGTCATTTAAAAACTTGTCTGGTAGACTCAGTCATATGTCTATAAGAGAAGTCTTGATACAATTCTTCAAAAATTTAAAAGCAATTTTAATTGTGTCTTAATTCCTGTTCTTTTATTGTTTTCTATCCTTAATACTGTTTTCTTTTTTCTCGTATTCTTCCACCCAGAAATCCCTTGAATCTTAGGGGCTTTTTGTACTGTTTCTGCTAACTGAAATGATCAAACACATTTTCAATTTCATTACAATTTGTGCTGATCATATCATGGGGTTTCAAAAGTTTAAATAAAATCCATCTGCAATTTTAACATTCATGCACATGGTGTTTTGATATAACAGAGAAAGATCATGTCAATTTTACATATAGTGATCATATTCTGGCAGGTACACTTGTACGAATTCCTGACCACTGACAATCCCTTTCTAATTTTCAGTGCATTCCTATAGTAAAATCATTAACCGTGCATTCATCATAAAAATAACACCAATTCTTATAGATTTGACTCAAGACCAATCTCAGTCCATCCTGATATTTGTTAAAATATACCAAATTTGGTCCAAGGTTGAATCAATGGGAAAGTCACATGCAAATTATCACACAACTTATGGTTTACAAACTCAACAACTAATCACCACTTTTAAATTGATGTAAACACAAAGTTATATTTTCTCCCTGAATTTCTGGTATGAGGAATTACCATCTTATCTTTTTTGTTGTTCTCACACCGTTTCAACCATTTTGCCCTCTACCCTTCATCAGGTGTATATCCTTCTAGGTAACCTACAGGAAATTCTGAACTGAAACCTTTATTTAATTTATGGGCAGAGTGAAGCTGAGTGGACGATTCTTGTTCCACTGCCCATGTCTAGGGATATCTCATCTAGTTCTTATTTTTGGTACTGCTCAATTATTGCTTGCCATGTTTCCACCAAGTCCAACTACACGCTGCTCGACCCAGGGATTGAACTTACAATTACTATATCACCAATCTATGAATTGATGCTTTACTCCACTATGCTATCGTTCCATGCAGATACTAAAAATAAGAACGAGACATGATATCTCTAGACATAGGCAGTCAAGTGAGAACAGTTTACTCCCATATATTAAATAAAGGGTTTGGTTGGGTATTTGCTGAAGGTTACCCAGATCAATATATACCTGATAAAGGTCAGAGGGTACAACAACAAAAACTTTGTGATAACAACAACAAAGATAAGGACAATAGTCTAAATGTAAATAGTGTAAATAACAAAATATTTCTAGAGCATTCAATGACTTGCAAGATATGCATGCTGTTTTGAGTACACTCAAGTTATCTGAGCTCAGAGCATTTGATAAGGATTGAACTCACTCTCAGTAGCTGAAAAGACAAGCTCATGAACTGCTGCACTACAAGTTCTCTAGAGGTCTTTTAGTAATACAATCAAACATTATCTTTTTCATTCTTCACAAAAGAAAAAAACATAAAATGCAAAGAAGTTTGATTAAAAGAAAGCTTGATTCCAATCAGAATAATGGGTTATTGTTTGAAAAGTGGCAGTCAGGTTGAAATGTTTAATAAGAGAGAAAAACATAACTGACACGTCGTCTGTTTTCTTTTTTTTCTTTCTGTTCATAAAATTAGGATTTAAAATTTTCAGCTTTGGTCAGTCAAGGGTATGAAGAATGATCAATAAAGAAAACCCAATTAAAAACAGCCAAAATATCTGTATGAAAAGAACATTTGAACCACAATCTGAATAAAAAAAATTCAATACTACTGCTTGATTCAAGTATTTTCTTTCTTATAATACAAATTTTTAACAGACATTTTACTAGGTGTCCAGCTACAGTTCAAGACCCAAGCTTAAAAAAACAATAAACGTGACAATCTTCAAGTTGTGCGTTTAATTGTTTTAATGGAAATATAAATTGGAAATTTTTTCATGAATATTCTTGTGTGTTTATTCATTTTAACATCCAATGAGTTTAATTACCAGGATCTGCTTCATGATACAGCATTAATTATTAATTTTGTTTTGGGTTTAAAACTGTCTTTTTGAATTCCTTATTTTGCAGTCATTCTGGTGATGAAATTCATAAATCATTTGTAAGATTTCAAGTTAGCAAACAAAAAATTTAAAAAAATTCTTCAAATTTTGTCTTGATCTCCAACCTTCATAAATTCTTCAACAAATTTATAAAAGTTTAATAAAATAGCAGAAGAATATGAAAAATGCCGTGGTGGTGGTACTACTACTACTACTACTACTACTACTACAACATCATCATCATCATCAACATAATAATAATAATAATAATGTCTAACAAAATCCCTGTCTTATGAACATTTCTCTTAATAATAACTTTAAAATAATTTAGCAGAAATTATACAATTATCATGGTTTCCATCATTTGGTTTGGTTTGGTGTGTTTTATGGCTTATCAACCCATTGCTTCATTTAATACCAAAATTTAATGTTTTTTTTTTTTTCTAAATAAAGCCTTGTATCTAAGCAGGCAAAAAATTTCACTTTAAAATAGTAAATCTGCTGTTAGTTATGGTTATATATCAGTTCTCAGGCTGAGATCAAAGTGTAGTATCTGCCCTCAGGCAGATAAACTACATTTAATCTCTCAGTTGTGTCTATCTTCAGATAGAGGCACAACTCAGTTGTGTCTATCTGTGGATAGAGCATAACTGAAAATATTACGGTCTTGGATAATAGCTGCCAGCAGCAGTACATCACTCATTACACTAAAGAGAGAGAGGATCAGTAGTAATACCGATGTCAGCACAACTGACAGTTGTAGGGGGCTGGGTTATTTTTGGATCACACTCCCCTCCCCAGTCTTTTGAACAGGAGTAGAGGTTTATCCCTTGTTTCCTGTTTAGGACTGGGTTTCCAGCTCCTTGTAAATTCTACTTTAACTCTATACTTCCCAAAAATCAATGGTGAAAAAAGGATTTAAGCAAGTAAAGCCTGAGGGTCTTGTCAAAGATCATTTCTCTTTAAACATTCTGGACTGGTGCCACAGAATCACAAAGAACTGTACCAAATAACAAAAACCACATCATTTGAGGACTACCAACAGCAGCAATAACTAAAATGAATATCACATGTAACTCAAAGAGAAAATAAAAACATAATCAAGATGTTAACATTCCACACCACTTTAAAACAGAAGGTTTGGAAGGAAACGTCCATCAATACTTTTATGGTGGTGGTTTGATTTTGTTTAGTGACATATCAACGTCTAATGGTGGAATCTAAATACATTTTGAACATAGATTTATGGTTTCAACTTCAGATAAAATGCATTGTTGGTCATTTTGCTGTAAAATTTATTGTTAATAATTCTGCTTTAAAAAAGTATTATAGGTAATTCTACTATAAATATGTATCATTGGTAAATTTTTTTATATAATAATGTATTGCTGGTATTTT